TTTTACTTATTTTTTATGATGAACAGATCTGTAAGTACACTGGGCTTTTCCCAGGAATTCAGTAGACCTTCCATAAAATATTGGACAAAGTATCTGATTTACTTTTAAAATGGTTAATTTCCACATCTTCACTGATGTGTATGAATAGTTTCAACTTCATAAAATTTTTTTGTCTCTCTAATGTCCTGTTACAGCAGGCAGACGTTCATTTCACAGACCACTAAAACCTTCCCTCATTGCAATATCTCTACTTGCTACATGGTTGAGGTACACTTTGAACTAGGAATAAATCTCATACATGCTCCATCTTCTCAAATCCTATCCTTGACAATAGGACTATGGCGCTCTCAGAATTAAAGTTCAAGTGAATCATTAGTTCGCTCCTGATCTAAAGCACCTACAACAAACTACATTTTTTTCTTTATCCCAAATGCAATCTAAGATAAAGGATTTAAAATTATATATACCATACACAGGACATCAGTCCAAGCTAAAGTTGAGATCTACCAGCTGTGCCTTTCAAACAGCATAAAAAATTGCATAGACATATTCCAATGACAAAATAAACTCCTGTACAAAACAAAATTATTTCCTTGTTAGTTTGGGTGATGATAGTACTTTAACTAATTAGCAGGGAATATAGAAATCAATTAAAAGATTTTATTTTTAGCCATTGGATGCATCAACCCTCTAGGAGGGATCATACTACACTCAGTAGATCATATGAGATCATAGAGCATATTATCAGGTGAGTACTACCCAAGGAAACACAATATTCCCACAGTCTTTAAATTTATAGTATCTTTACAAGTGAAAGTTTAATTTTAATAAGTGCTCCTTTCACAAGCAGCACAAAGCGTTAACATCCATAGATATTGAGTTTTTGAAAATTAATCTAGAAAATTAATTAATCTGTGGAATTTACATAATTTCAGTAAAATATTGCCTATGCTTAAAAAAAAAAAAAAAAGAAATAAAAAGAAAACCACTTTTTATTAAGCAAGTTTGTTTTTCCACTGTCAAAATGTTTTTGGAAATAGAACTCATAATCATACACTGAAGTGGTAACAGAATAACTCATCAAAGAACTTTAGTATATATGATAATCAAGGTTTTCATCTTTTAATACATGTGCAAAATTAATCAGTTGCTTCCTTACACATGAATTCCAGACTGATACAGTGGATTCAAAAGCTTTGCAAAGGCTTAGGAATGTTTGTATTTCATTGATATATTTGAGTATTTAAAAATAGTACTTCTTCAGAACTGTGAATATTTTTAAAAACAAATAATTTCATTAACAATATGCCTCAAACTTATAAATACATGATTTACAGGAACTCTGTTTCGAAATTTGGGAGTTCTTGGCATCAAAGCTTTTTTCAATAGGTATAATATACATTTTTGTATTATGCAGCTCCTAGCACAACAGATCTTTGATTTAGCCATTTGAGGTTTCTGGCAATGTTAGACATATAGTTAAGTACAGATTACTAGAGACAAGATTCTCTTCCATTTCTAGATGAAGCCAGATACAATTTGACCACCTCTGTCACAGAAGGACATGGAGGACACATACGATGCTAAGACTGTGGTTCAGTGTCTTCTGATCAAGAATAATTCTTCAGATCAAATGCCTATACTTTAGGTTGGTTTTGCTCTAAAAGCAGCAGATATTTTGTAATCCCTGTTTCCTCCACAATTCTCTAACACATCATTGTCAGAGTAGTTTATGATATTCCTACAGGATTCCAAGTTACAGCATAGGATTAAGAACACATGAGGATGTAATGATTTAATCACAGTAAAACTGCCCTCTGAGTAAACCTCTTGAATAGTATTGTTTAAATCTCTAGGCTAACATGCAATACAACACTTTCATTCTGCTCTCCTATAAATGGAGTTTGAATTTTTCTTAGTTCATTTTAAATTAGCAAATTTTGAGTTTCTGACACATTTTTTAAGTAAGGAAAACTTTGAAATACAAGGTATTTGTAAAGATTAATTTATTAGTTTGCTTACTATCCATGCATACTTGGGAAAGGTAAGAAAGGGATAAAACTTTAATGGTGACCTCATAAGGAGGGAAGAAAGTATATTTTCTGCCCCAGGCTGAAATATTTTGATAAAAATAACAACTGAAAGTCTGTTTAGAACTTTGATCAGTGATTTTTTTCAAGGTAAAACTACCTACCTGTTTCCTATATTCTGGATTCCTTTTCTCTGAAGCACAGAAGCTGACACATAAATTCTGTCAGTGACAACTATCAGAGGCAAGTTTAATATATTGATCTTTGCTCAAGTGCATAATCTATGTATTTTTGCAACAGGATAATTGTGTTCATTAAAATATCCCTATTTATGACTTCTCTATGTAGTGAAAATAAGAGACAAAACATGCTTTAAATGTTTTTTTTTGGGGGAAAAAAAAAAAAAAAAAGCAAACAAAAACAGTCTCTTCATTTCTTAAAAATAAAGAACTCAATCTTCTTTAATCCTAAAAATATACCTTTAGAGATATACATCTTTATTATATCTAGAATTAGTGACTTATAGTGAGGCAACATTCGCCAGGCCTAGCACTCCATTAAGGCATTGTTCATATGCCAGACCCAGATACCCAAACATACATTGTTTAACGGAATTAACACATTCATGTTCATTAAATTCTTTTCTGAAATGGCAAAACCAAAGACATTCTCAACAAAGTTATCAAACACAAAATATTTCCCAAAGAGATTGAATGAAATGCAGTGAACTAGCACCTAAGTAACACATTATAGGTTTTGATATTAGATCACTGTTTCACAACCAGATCACCAGAAGAACTCTTCCAATTTCAGACTCAGGAATGCTTATGAAGAATAGCAAGTCCTTCAAAGGTTTAAGACTAAAAAATAATACGACTGACTGTGAGAGAGGCAGATAAAGTAGCAACTACCACAATGAAAAGGATCAGAACCACTGCATGACAAATAATTCCTTTTCTATAGATGTTAATGATAAAGTACCAACTACCAAAATTAGAAGGATCAGAACCATTGCTTGATGAGTAATTCCTTTTGTATTGATGTTAATTGAAATGTGGATAAATATATATATGTATATGAAAAGAATGCATGCACTTCATGTATTTATGGGAAGTTTTAAACAAAAAAAAAGAAAATAATGAAGCTGTACCAATAATAATATTTCACATTAATTTTTCAGAAATATAAATGATAACACAAAGCATGTATTATTCAATCATAATACAGATTGCTAAAATTGCTAATCATATCTAACACTGAAATTCTACATAGTATTTAATGGAAAATTGTATTGAGCTCAATAGCAAAATTCCCATTGACTTTAATAGAGCCAAGATTTTACTTTTGGTCATGGCACAAATTACCTTATGGTTTATATTTAGAACAATTACTTTCCATAGAACACAAAGAGGAAAAACTACCAGTATAAATCACAATTCATGTCCAAGAAAAATAAAAATGTATCTCAGTATATTCCTGAATGAGATCAGAATCTGGACTGTATGGCTTGGAAAATTTCTTTCTCCAAATCTACACAGGGTCCAAGGTCACAAGTTTGTCCTGGAAAATGTCATATATAATGACAAAATTTCCACAAGTATATCTATTCAAAGAATCCAAAGCAATAATTATATGTACATCTCCTCTCCTACTTATACATCAATGGGAAAATATTTGCTTGTCAATAATGTTATCTATTTGCTTTGTTTCATTCTCATTTAGATTCTCCACATCTCAGCAAGAGAGGTCCACAATGGGAAGTTGTTTCAAACTTCTCACTTCTTGAAACATTAGTGGAGTGTTTATTGGGACTTTGGAGAAGCTGTCCATGAAGCTGTGCATTTGGAAGCTGACCCATATCTGCATTCACAGTTGTGACACAAGAGCACAGAACCTGGGGGCGAGGGTGGAAGGGGAAAGAAAGTATTGCCCGGAATCATAATTCTGAAAGATGTGAGATGAAATAGTTCTTCTTTGGGTAGCCTTCTTTTAAACACGGACTTGTTATAGTTGCTGGTTATCTGGATGCTGGGGGTAAAGTGTGCCACTACACAGAAAAAAAAAAAAAAAATAAAAAAAATATATATATATATATAAAAGCTATGAGCATTTTATTTATAGGGAAAAAAATTCCCTTGTACCATAAAAAGGGATCTCTTCATTCCATAAGGAGAGATCCATGCCTCAGAGGAGGCTTGAATTAAGGCAAAGACAGGCCTGTGTACGCACTGAGTGGCTTTATGTTTCCCCACTTCTAAATGATAATGAATCATTTTAAACAAGGTCCTGCTCCTGTAATTTCTTATCCGAGTGGAGGTTTCCACTCAAGTTAGCAAGACCCTTCAGTAACAAGATCTGGTTGCTAGGATAGGGCCCAAGAAATTTTTATCTATTCTACATATATGTCTATATGTATTTACACACGCACACACAGACATACATATATACACACAAACATGCACACACAAAAATTTATAAATATATGTGTATATATATGTACATATACAAAGAGACAAGATTGAAAACCATGTCAGACTTGGAATGTTATCCGCTTGTCAAAACCATTTAAACTACTATCTACACAGTACATATTGAAACTCAACTTTAAGATTTTTTTATTTTTATGTACACTTCATTTTTTTTCTCTGGAAATAAAATATCTAAATACAGACAGACTGTAATGTTGTATATGTATAGCTTTCAACAATACTTTAGCTGAATAAATGTTTTGTACATAGTTCTGTCTTTTAATGAAGTTTACAGTTACATTGATAAAATGGATTCCTCATTTCCTTGATTGTTTTTAACCAATAACAAGCAGAGAGACAATTACAAGTTAATATTAATAAGCAGCTCAAATAACACTGGTTAAATTATGTACAATACAAACCATTCATACAAATGAAGACTAGGATATTGAATTTGTTACAATATTTTGTAATAAAGATAAGACAGCCACTTATAACTTACATGTTCTCCGTCAAGCATTTTCCTTCTTAGAGATCAGTTGGAGAGCTTTTAAGTAGCTTAGCTGGCCTAAACTCAACCAGGTCTAAAGAATCAGAGCTTAAGAGTCAGAGAAACATGAAACCAGAATGTCTGCCCACATGTAAATTCCAAATGTTTGCCCATCTTTACTAGTAACAGGCTCACTCCATGGAAAAAGAGCCACCTAACACCACCTCGAATGTGCCTACTGTTTGCTGGAAAAAAGTCATGATGCTTTGCTGTGTTCATATGATAAAGAATACTGAACTCCAGACATATATTTTTCCCATTTTAACAAGTATTTACTCCTGCAGTATTATTTACCAGTACAGCTACTCCAAGTAGTAGAATGCGTGAGTGGGGATTATTGATTGGAGTATACTCAAAGAACTTTCAAAGAGATTTCCATAACAGTCTGTGTTAGAAACCATTCTCTGTCTAGTTAATCCATTTTGCTTGATGATAAGTTATCCTGAAACCTTAGATATCAGACAATGAAAGCTCTCTTAACAGGAATCTCAACATATGTGAGCTTAAAAGAGTGTGTGTCTCTGTGTATGTGTATGGTTTTATTTCAAATCCATAGTGATTTACAACTAGATTGATACATGGAGCTGTCTGGGAAAAAATTACATTAGATTGTTTTCCACTAACATATTTGTAGCCATTTGACATCATCAGCAGCAGGTAGACACATTCCAGGCAATAGATGTGACCTTCCTCCTTGAGGTTACAGCCCTGTCATATGACCTCTTTTATTCCCCAGGCTTCAGTCTCAGATACGTGTTGGTCCTCACCCTGATGGGAAGTAGGGTGTGTCACTGTGGTAGTTGTAATCAGGACACACCTTCTGTACTAGTTTATAATCTGTACTATAAAAGGAAATGTAAATACAGATTACTTTAAAGGGCTTAGAGCAGAGCCATGACACATGGCTCTGGGTCTGCTCCTGGTAACAGGTTTTTGAAGGATCATAGTTGCAGAGTGTGTTCTTGGTAGCCTTGTCAACCTTTTCATACTCAATTCGACAGTTAAAGGACTTGGAATCTTTGGCATCAATCACCGTCTGTTGTGCCAAGTCAAATTCCACTATTTTTGTAGGGGGCACTAGGCTCACAGATACATTCCCTTGACCAGTGGAGTTATGCCTGAAGTAAACACTAAACGTCCCATTGCCATGGTCAACGATTTTCCCCGTTATTAACAGATTTAGCTTCACAGTCTTGATGTTGGAATGAAAATCGCCCCAGCCAAACATTTTCTTAAATTTCCCAGTCTTGACGATGGGCCGTCTCTTTGCTCTGGGCCGAGGCTCTTGCAGGTCTGTGGAGTTCCTCAGCCAGTCCCAGAGATCTTGCTCAGAATAAGTTTCTGGGGCATCGTATCGCAGGTCCAAATCTGTATCATTTTCCTTTCCATGAAAAGTCTGTGACAGCAGTCGGCTGATGGACAAGTCTTTGCTACTTTCTGTCCATATGTGCTTTAGTGTGGATTTGGAGCTTCCTGATTTTAGAAGTTCTGTTTTTCCTCCATTTGTTAAATTTGCACAGGTAACCTGAAAAAAGAAAGAAGGTAAGAAGAAAGAAATGGTGAGATATGTAATACAAAATCTATCTCTGTAATCCATCACTCCCACCTGAGAACAAAATGATCAAATTTCAAAGTCATAGGGATGTTTATTTTAGAAATTATATCTCTGTATAACTTAGTGAAACAAAACAGAAACATTTATTTTCCTCTTCTTTCCAAGTAGTTATTGCTTAAACCTCTTTTGCCAGTGTTTTACACTGGCCTTGAGATTCAATCCCAGTCATCCACAATATGAAGAATATTCACATATTCTTCAGCCTGAAATCTACTTCTGGTATGATGCCTGTAAGTTTTAAGTATGTAATGAAGTACTGCAAAAACTACAGTGTACAGCCATGTCAGCCTCTGTCTGTATGTGGCTTTCACTGACCATTTCTCTTCTCTGGGTGAAGTACTCTTGCTTGAATGTTCTCTTTGCAAAATGACTGTCTTCCACCATCAGACTCACATTCATTTATTTTTGCTGCCCCTGGAGTCCAACTGTCAGGGTGCTGTCTTGGTGGTGCCAGCCTGACCATGGTCAGAGTCCACATCATTATAAATCTAGTAATAATAACACAATTTCCTTACTCCTTTCGAGTACATAGTGGTCTATATTCTTGACTAGGACCTCCAGTCACAACTACAATATAAATAATAGAATAATTAATTTTTTAGTGAGTTTTGCGTCGACGGGTATATATACTGTGTGCTGCACCTCAAATAATGCAAGAGAAGTAACAGGGGTTTTTTATAGTCCCTTACAGATTAGCTACTCATTTGCCTTGTCTGTATCTAAGTATGAAATACATTTCTCCTTCCTCACTTCACTTCTTTTTTCACACTTTCCTCACTAAACCAAAAAGTGATCTGTGCAAGACAGAAAGCTATTTGTGAAAAAATAGGGCAAACAATTTAATAGTAAAAAAAAAAAAATACAATGAAAATAAAAGTAGTAATAATAAAACCCTGCAAAATCACAATTTTAAAAAAGACAAAATCTTGCACCAAATTCTTACTAAATCAGACATATTTTTTTCACAGAATTTAGAGTCAGAGCAATTTGTCTTATTTATATTTTTTGTCTTTGCCTTAATTGTGTGGAAAACAGAGAACAGATGCAGCCTCACAGCTGTCTAACACGCAGCACTGGTACAGAGCTCTGACAGAGCATAGCAGGGAGGGCTGGAATTGGCAGGGGGCAGCGGATGGATGGAAACGGACCGACAACACCCTCAGTCTCATTCCCCCTAAAAATTCACACCAGCCACACTGCCACATTTTTTAACATTGGAATTGCTCTGAAGAGGCCATCAAGTTTCTTATTTCCTTTTTCATGGCTACATAGGAGATTCTAAATCTGCCTGCTTTATTCCTCTGTGTTCTGGCACTGATTTATGTGCTTCTATCATACTTGCAGTTATATCTTTCTCTTCACTTAAATATGAATTAAGTGTATTCTCAACCCAGGAAACCCACTGGAAACCAGCTAGTATTTAAATCATGTCTCCTCCCTACTGGTACAACTGGAGATATATGTCACAGAGGATATCTATCACAGCATGCCCTTTTCATTTCCTAACAATCATGGAATTGAAGCATGCTTTCATTAACCTCAGTACTTTTTCAAGGTCAGTTGAAGGCACATACATAAAATCAGTCTAAATTGTCTTAATACATTGATCAGATAGGAGATATGCCCCCAGCCTTTTACAGTAAACAAATAGGTAAATAAATCTGTCACATCTCACTCTACGCCACCACAGTGCATTTCACATTGGTGGGCCAGTAAGGGTAATAGATAGAATATGGGGTTTATTTAGGATTTTGCCAAAGAGATTACTTCCTCTTCTTTTCAATGGAAGGAAGGATTAAAACACAGACAAGCATCTCAAATAGCCAGTTTGTAGCTGCATCTTAGCATCAACACAGTGAGCCAGGAGAGAAACTGTAATGGAATGCACTGATGGTGCACTGGTTAATGAAGCAGCAATGAAGATGTCACAGGGAGAGAGAAAGAGACTCAGAACGTAATTTTGCTGTGGCATATGGGGAAGGAGTGCAAAATAAGAAAAGAAATGTGGTTAAAAGGAAAAATGTGCCTGTCTAGCATGAATCTGTCAACCTGCTATGAATCTAAGCAGTTAGCTAGCAGAGCTAGTATACCTGCAATCTGTAGGTAGGATACAGATTTCTTACCAGACTATATTTTTCTTTGCTCACAGCTTGTTTTGCCTTTGTTTTCCTTTCTGCATCCAGTGATTTAGATTTCATTAGATTACACTACAAGTTCCATGTAACAAGATGTAAAGGTATAAAAACCCTTCAAAGAGAAGGTGTCTTTTTTTCAGATGTATAAAACTGAACACTCAGGAAAGGAAAGAAGTATCTTCTGAAATGGTTGCTGACTGATCCAATACATGAGGTTATTTGAAAGCCAGTGTATTTCATGGAAATGGATGATTCAGATTTCATGCATGCCATATTGCTACATACCTGATCTAACAAATATAAATTATGTTAGTGTCATCGATTTTGTAATACCTGAAAGATTTCTGGTCCTGCAGTTAGCCCCAAGACCTCTGCTTGTGTTCAGTGTGGGTAGCTAACTGGCTGCATTCATGATTAAAGGCCTGAACCTGCCCTCCCTAGCCTGTGTAAGCACTAGAAAAAACAGCCCATGAGGGTTAATAAAAAAATCTCAAGAATTCATTGTTCTTCACTAACATTTTCCAGCCAACTGCTTCTTCATATACTGTTAGTATACTGTGGGCTATAGAAAGTAGCTGTATGTATCCTCAGAGACTCACACACCCTGTAATACAGAGCATTGCTGTGTAATAGAATTTCTGCAAATGCAGCAGTTATTTTCACATGAACTGATTCACAATTTTCTTCCATCTCTCTTCTTTCCAACACAAGACTGCAATAATACAGGAAAGATCATGCAAATCCATGAGATTTTACGCTTAGTAGTGTGAAAACTAACTTACTGAAACATGAAAAAGAGCCAATTTAAAATTGCTAATGGTGAACTAATGGCGAGCACTGAGCAGCCCAAATTCTATGGTGGCTTTTTTGTTCTCTTCCTGGAGTACATTTACGCATAATTCAGAAACTTGCATCCTCTACCTTATCAATTAGTTCACTACAATGAGAGTTGCCGCCTTTTCCACAGCCAAGTACCACTACTAGGCAAAACACTGAAAAGCCAGGCTCAGGCCTGGCTAAGATAGAGTTGATTTTCTTCATAGCAGCTCATACAGTGCTGTGGTTTAGATTTTTGACAGAAACACTGGTAACACACTAATGTTTTAGCTCTTGCTGAACAGTGTTTGCACAGCATCAAGGCCTTCTCGTTTCTTCCTCAAGCAAATAGATTCAGAGGTGCACAATACATTGGGAAGGTTCACAACTGAGCAGATGATCTGAACTGACCAAAGAGATTTTTCAGACTACATAATTTCATGCTTAGCAATTAAAAGTTTTAGGAGGGGTTAGCCATCTTTTGCTCAAGAACTGGCTGGGGATCCCATGGGAGGTGGTGAGTGTTGTCTTTTCATCACTTATTCTGTATTGTTTTCTTCTCTCTTCTTCCACTTATCCACTTATTAAACATTTCTTTATCTTGACCCCCGAGTATTCTTGCTTTTATTCTTCCTTTCCTCTTCCCCTGTCCCAATAGGGAAGGAGGAGAAGTGAGCAAGAATGTGTGGTGCTTAGCCATCCACTGGGGTTAACCCACACCACCACTACAGTGCAATATATCAATGTTGCAAAAGGGCTGAGGAGGGGGATTTGCTCTGTGACTGTATAGCTAGAAGACGTTTTGAATGATTATGATATCAGAAGTGTCTATATAGAACAATAGTAAGGAGGAAAAGGTTTAGAAATGCTTATCCAATGTTACAAATGTCAGTGGAAAAGCACTCAGCAAGCATGGCAGACTGACCTTTGGTTCCAGTCTTGCACTTTTAATGGAAAGTATAAATTTCCGACACCTAGTAAAGTTTACTGATATCAGAAAGATACAAGGAGCTGACTGTCTGGTATCTCTTTTCCAACTAATAATGACAAATTGTTATTCCATTATTTTTTTTTCTGCTTCTAGTAAGGAGACAGTGATTTCATTGGGAACAATATCCCAAAATATCATTAAAAAAAGACACAGAAATTAATCTCTAATTCACTTTTTACTACATTAAAATAGAATACTCCATTCACTCTGTATCCTCATTGTTGAGGATGAAGAATTTTCTATGATGATATTCAACATCATTAAATGTATTTTAATGAATATGTGTAGTCTATTTAGGACTTCCTAAAGGGTAGGCAGTTTATTTGCCTCAGAAATTCTGAAATTCTCTTTCATGACACTGAGCCCCAAATGTTTAGTCAGGCCAAACCTGAACATTTGGAACAGAGAAAATAAAGTTGGAAAGGAATATTGGGAAGCCATGAAGGCCTCCAGTGGTGATTTAGGCCCTCTTCTTGGTGTAAAATCAACCATAGGTATATTAACATTAATTTAAGACAGATCAATTTGAGACTTAAAAAAATAGTTCTTCAAAGAGCTACAGAATGCCTCTTGATTTCTCACTCTTTTCCTTTTATTCTAGCTCTATTACAGTTCATTATTATAATTACAGTATTGATTTAGAAATTATGCATTTATTCCTCTGAATGTATGACTACTTGAGGGCAAATGAAAATGTAAACAAACAATCTAATACTTAAGGTAGAAAATCTCTCTCTTCAAGTAAATATCTAATCAAAACCAAGATCATTTTTGCTGGTAGGGCACTGTAAGAATTTGGCAGCACTGTGTTTGCATATGCTCTATATAAAATAATACAGAATTTTGTTTCCTTGTTCCAGATATCTCAGATATAGCATGGGTAGGAGAATACTGATGGACAGAACTATAAGATGTACCTTTATCAAGGCAGAGCAATACTCAGAAGATTTTAGCTGGATCCATTTTCCTTATATTAATCCTGTTTATGTAACCTGAACCTAGTTTACCATTCTACTTTGATCAATTTTTCTTCCTGTAAC